CGACCGGCAAAAGGCCCAGGGGAAGGCCAAGATTAACCTGGTGCAAACATATGGAAGGAATCTGTTCCAGGCTGCAATTGTCTTTTGCCGAAACTCAGACTCTAGCACAGGATCGGGAACGTTGGAAGCACTCTCTGACGCGTCTGCCTCCGCGACCCGAAAGGAGAAGCGGCGATGGAAGATGAAGAAGATGAAGATCGAAGGGTTGTACAATCAGTTTAAATAAGCCTTAAGTAATATCACAGTAGAGGCCAAATGCTGATCACTACAGCAGAGTATTACCAATTCAATATTTCAACTTTTCAGCAATCAGCTGCCATGTTTCGTTATATTTTAATCTAAATAATGTCAATTGAAATAATTTAAAGGCGAAATTTTTGTCAAGAAAAGTAAAGAATTATCATAAAACGGGAGGCCACACCCGAATCTTAATCAGAGAATGTACACAGAATGCTGAAAATAAATCAGTTTTACCAACGCTTCAGGTTATGCAGATATTGACCGCTCAATCTTGGCGAAAGTTTATAATCCAAGTGTCACACGTCGAGCAGAGCATTTCAGAAGTGCAGAGGGACGTCAAGTGATACAGACAATCAGTCAAAATCTGAATTATCGTTTATCTCTGGGGTTTATACTTTTGAAATTGTTATAATGCTGTCTGGTGACTGGTGGAAGGCAGACCAATTTCAAATAAGTGCTGCTGATGACCTTTAGAAATTTTGTGAGTACATGTGAAAACCAACAAATCCTTCTTAAAAGAATATGCCATTTAATCTTCATTTTTCAAGAACATACAAAGCGAAAATATGCGCTGGAAATAATGGTGTCTTAATGATTTTATACAAGATTAAGATTTTGAGGGAAAATAGGATGACGCTGTAAGGATAATTTTGAATAGTGAACAAAAATAATACACCGTTTATGAGAAGTTTCATCAAAATCGAATAACATGGTATAGAATTGTATTTTACCATGTTAAGACGAAATGAGAAATTAATTGACAGGTAGTAACCCCTGATTCGCTGTGTGAAGAGAACCTATGCCGAGTAAAGACATTGGTTAGTTAAGACAAGTTGTCAGCGATTTAATTCACGTCCTCACCATAGACTCGATTGGCATAATTCCTTACGCCTTTAGGCAGAATCTTTTTTGAAAAAGACAGTATGACATTAAGCCGTGACGAAAGGATTTGAGGCAATTTCTTCATCTTCATCGTCATCTTCCATGGCCGCTTCTCCTTTCGGATCGGTGGAGAAAACTTGAGTATTAATTATTTGGGCCACTTGGATCGGCCGGTGATCGGCGACGAAAACAACTAGTCAAAGCAGGTCCGCCATTCCTCGCGGTTTCGAGACATATCCCTCCAAGATCGACTTTCCCTGCTCTTAATGTAATCTTCTCACAGTCGGGATAGGCGACCCAGCAACATGTTCTGCGAGCAAGGGTACCAGTCAGCGATCACCGCCAACCATCTCCAGTAGGTGTACCGAGCCACGTACCCTGGCACACTCTAGATTCTTCTTTCCGATTTGACAACAATGTCATTCCAACTCGTCCTCGATATGCCTGATCACCATGTTGAGGATGTGGTCGCGACTTGAGGTTCCAAACATTCCTTTTTCCATGGCTGTCTCGGTGGCATTTAGCTGCCGCCATTCGGCTTTAGTGATTGACCACATCTCACAGCCGTACAACAGCGCCGCCGGAGGAGAATTTCCTTGATGGAATGGAACAGGGCCAACTCGGCTTCTACGATCTTCCCACCCTTTAACATCACCTAGGTGTTGGCAGGGCATCTGATCTCAGTATCTTTGTCTTTGATCGAATGATTG